GAACGGCAGGAAGGTCAAACCGACAATTTCGCGATAATTCCTTATGACCTTTTCCGACATCACCGTTATAATAATGTTATTCGTGATCCTTCCTCCACGTGTCGTTTTCCTCACTGCCCTGCGTACTCTCCCCACCCTCCTCAGCTCTTTTTGCGGAGACTCCTCCTTGGAGAGCCTCTGGGGGCCTCACAAAAGTTCTGCCCTCTGGAGGCCTGCTGAGCGTCTTCTGGAGGCCCCTAGGGGCTTCCTCGGGCCACCCTGCCTCCAACCGCGGTCTCCCTGAATGCCCGGGCCACGATTTGGAATGCTTCGGGGGGGCGTCTTGGGGCTATCTTGGGCCGTCATGGCGCTTTCTTGAATCATCTTGGAACCCTGTTGTGCCGTCTTAAGGCTCTCTTGGACTGCCTGGAGGCCCTGTAGGATGGTTGAGGGGCGATTTTCGAGCCTCCTGGGCGGCTTCGGATTCTTAGAAGCCCGCCTTCTTGAAGCGTCGGGAAGCCGAAAAGAGAACCCCCGAATTCAACGAAAACCGGCAGGAAATCTATGAATTTTGCCTCTTGAAGCCCCCACAAACCACATGATTTCACAGGGATGCCTGGGATTTCCTACCTCCGACAACAATCTACCCAGGAGCCACCCCAGGGCCGCGAATCCCAAGCATCCCAATGAATTCACAGGGTTCGCGACGTCAGGGACGCCCAAACTCTTCGATTTCACTGGGATGCTTGGGAGTTTTGGGGTGTGCATCAGAAGCCCTATGATTATTTTGGATGCTGGGGGTTCCTAGATTTTCGGGGGTTCAGAATTCTGGAGGCTCCAGGGTCGATTCTTGTCGGAGGGCGGGACATCCCAGGAATCCAAAAGATCCGAGTGAAATCATAGGGTGTCCAGGACGCACACCCCAGAACCCCCAAGCACCCCAATGAAATCACAAGGGTTGGGCTTGGGCCCCCTTGACGTCGCGAACCCTATTAATTCACTGGGGGTGCTTGGGATTCGCGGCCCTGGAAGGGGCCCTGGGTAGATTGCTGTCGGAGGTAAGAACTCCCAGGAATCCTAGGCATCCCAGTGCAAACATCATATAGTCTGTGGGATTACCACACCAGAAATCCCAAGCATCCCAAAGACAAAAATCACAGGGTTCGGTGCATCTTGGGCCCCGGAGAAGGCGGCAGGGGAGGAGGAGGAAGACGAAGAGGAGGAGCAGGAGGAGGAGCCGGAAGAGGAGGAGGAGGAGGAGGGGGAGATGGCGGAGGAAATGCTGGCTGCTCCCTGCTGGCTGCTGCTCTCTGCTGGTCCCTGCTGCTCCCTGCTGCTCTCTGCTAGTCCCTGCTGGTCTATGCTGCTCTCTGCGGCTCTCTGCTGCTCTATGCTATTCTATGCTGCTCTCAGCTGCTCCCTGCCGGTATATGCTGCTCTCTGCCGCTCTCGGCTGCGCTCTGCTGCTCTCTGCTGCGCTCTGCGGCTCCCTGCTGCTCTCTGCCGTTCCCTGCTGCTCCATGCTGCTCTATGCTGATCCCAGCTGCTCCTTACTGTTCCCTGCTGCTCCCTGCTGGTCTATGCTGCTCTCTGCTTGTCTCTGCTGATCCCTGCTGCTCTCGGCTGCTCTCTACTGCTCCCTGCTGCGCTCTGATGCTCTCTGCTGCTCAATGCTGCTCCCTGCGGCTTCCTGCTACTCTCTGCTGCTCTCTGCCGCTCCCTGCTGCTCTCTGCTGCTATCGGCTGCTCCCTGCTGCTCCCTGCGGCTCCCTGCTGCTCTCTGCTGCTCCCTGCTGCTCCCTGCGGCTCCCTGCTGCGCCTCTGCTTCTCTCTGCTGCTCTCTGCTGCGCCTCTGCTGCTCTGCTGCTGCTCTCTGCCGCTCCCTGCTGCTCCCTGCTGCTCCCTGCTGATCTCAACTGCTCCTTACCGCTCCCTGCTGCTCCCTTCCGGTCTATGCTGCTCTCTGCTGGTCTCTGCTGATCCCTGCTGCTCTCGGCTGCTCTCTGCTGCTCACTGCTGCGCTCTGCTGCTCTCTGCTGCTCTCTGCTGCTCCCTCCTGCTCTCTACTGCTCTCTGCAGCTCCCTGCTGCTCCCTGCTGCTCTCAGCTGCTTCCTGCTGCTCCCTGCTGCTCTCTGCTGCTCTGGGGGGGAAGAAGCATGAAGGATCACCAGAAGTGAATGGGCAAACAAAGTCGGAGAAAGGATGCAGCGCAAGGGCGAACGAGGCAGAAGAAGGCCGAACGAGCGGGGACGGATGAAGAGAGGGAGGACGACCAGTGAGAGTAATTAGGAATGAACGCCTCAACGACTGATGCAAAATCAGTGCGTTCTGGGGGGGGGGGGGCTGCGCAAAGAGATACATCGGAGGTTGGGGGGTGAGTCCAACGTGAAACGGAGACGCCCCCTACCACGAAATTGATTTCGGTTTCGGATTCGTGTCGAGCGTGCCGTGCGTGCGTGCGGGCGAGGCGAAGCTGCGTGGGCGGGCGAAAGGAAATCTTCCTGTGGCTGGACCGCGGCCGGACCAAATGTAACTCCTCCGGCGGCTGGTGCCCCGCGGTGTCCCGCCGATGTCCAGCGGGTGTCTCAAAATCCTCCTGTGGCTGGGCCGCGGCCGGACTAAATGTAACTCATCCGGCGGCCGGTGCCGCGCGGTGTCCCGCCTGTATCCTGCTGGTGTCCCGTGGTGTCCCGTGGTGTCCCGTTGAGTGAGATGGATAGTGAGATCGATACTGAGATCGATGTGGTGCCCCGAAGTGTCCCCTGGTGTCCCGCTGAGTGAGATCGATAGTGAGATTGATAATGAGATCGACAGGTGTCCCGAGGTGTCCCGTGGTTCCCGTTGAGTGAGATCGATAACGAGATCGATCGTGACGTCGATAGTGAGATCGATGTGGTGTCCCGAGGTGTCCCGTGGTGTCCTATGGTGTCCCGCTGAATGAGATCGATGGTGATACCGACAGTGAGATCGAGATGTGTCCCGCGGTGTCCCGTGGTGTCCCGAGGTGTCCCGTGGTGTCCCGTTGAGTGAGATCGATAGTGAGATCGATACTGAGATCGACAAGTGTCCAGTGGTGTCCCCTGGTGTCCCGAGGTGTCCCGAGGTGTCCCGTGGTGTCCCGTTGAGTGAGATCGATCGAGAGAGCGACCGGTGTCCCGTGGTGTCCCGTGGTGTCCCGTTGATTGAGATCGATAGTGAGATTGATACTGAGATCGATGTGGTGCCCCGAGGTGACCCGTGGTGTCCCGCTGAATGAGACCGATAGTGAGATCGATAGTGAGATCGACAGGTGTCCCGAGGTGTCCCGTGGTCTCCCGTTGAGTGCGATCGGTCGTGAGATCGATCGTGAGATTGATACTGAGATCGATGTGGTGCCCCGAGGTGTCCCGTGGTGTCCCGCTGAGTGAGATCGACAATGAGATCGATAGTGAGATCGACAGGTGTAGGAAGGTACCAGCTATACACCAACACCGATCCTGGCCAGGATCACCCTGGGCACAGGATCGGTGTATACGCCCTCCTGCCTTGCGCAAGAAGGCATATACACCGATCCTGGGCCCAGGGTTATCCTGGGCCAGGATCGGTGGTGTATAGTTGGTGCCCTCCGAAGGTGTCCCGAGGTGTCCCGTGGTGTCCCGTTGAGTGAGATCGATCGTGACGTCGATAGTGAGATCGATGTGGTGTCCCGAGGTGTCCCGTGGTGTCCTATGGTGTCCCGTTAAGTGAGATCGATCGTGAGATCGATCGTGAGACCGATAGTGAGATCGAGAGGTGTCCCGCGGTGTCCCGTGGTGTCCCGTGGTGGCCCCCGTGGTGTCCCGTGGTGTCCCGTTGAATGAGATCGATAGTGAGATCGATAATGAGATCGACAAATGTCCCGTGGTGTCCCGTTGAGTGAGATCGACAGAGAGAGAGCGACCGGTGTCCCGTGGTGTCCCGTTGAGTGAGGTCGATAGTGAGACTGATACTGAGATCGATGTGGTGCCCCGAGGTGTCCCGTGGTGTCCCGTTGAGTGAGATCGATAGTGAGATCGATTGAGTCAGATGTTGGTTCCCCCCCTCTCCCCCCCCACACCTCCTTATCACCCGAAGGGTGGTCGTATAGGACATATATATTATATATATATATAATATATATATATGTACACCTATACGACCACCCTGCGGGTGATAAGGAGGTTTGGGGGGGAGGGGGCCAGCAATGGGCAACAGTGGTGATTGTTGTTCTGACGATGCCAGTGGAGATCGTTGCGTTGCCGCTCGCTCTTGGGAGCCTTGGTGTCGATCGTGGTATCGATAGTGAGATCGATCTCGCTATCGATCTCACTATCGATATCACGATCGATCTCACTATAGATCTCACTATCGATCTCTCACTATAGAGCTCACTATCGATCTCACTATCTGTCTCAATATCGATCTCTGATCAATATCGATCTCATTGTCGATCTCACCACGGGACACCACGGAACAACGACGGGACACCAGCGGGACACCAGCGGGACATCAGCGGGACACCGGCGGGACACCGCGCGCCACCGGTTGCCGGGCGGAGAACCTTTTGGGTCCGGCCGCGGCCCGCTGCAACCATGACGGGACACCGGCGGGACACCAGCGGGACACCCGCGGGACACTGGCGGGACACCGCACGCCACCGGTTGCCGGGCGGAGAACCTTTTGGTCGAGCCGCGGCCCAGCCACTGGAGGATTTCCTCTCCCCGCCCACGCAGCTTCGCCGCGCCCGCGCGCACGGCACGAGCACGAAACCGAAATCGATTTCCCGGCAGGGGGGCTCTCCGTTCCACTTCGATCTCACCCCCCAACCTCCGATACACACACACACACGCCCCCCTGGCAGACACTATAGAATGGCATAGACACCAGGGGTCCAGGATGGCCCTGGCCAGGCACGGTGGTGTACAGATGCCTTCCTTGGAGGCTCCTTCCAGCGCTGCTGCGCGCGTGAGCGGAAGGCCGAGAGCGCGCGTGGCACGCTCCCGCCGCGCCGGGGCAGCCGGCCTCAGTGCCGCGGGCCGTCGTCGTGCAGATGGCCATGGTCGTGCAACGTCGGGCACAGCAAGCTCAGGTAGTTCTCGAGGTCGTAGTCCGAGAGGAAGATGCCGTGCTCCCTGTCGTCGACGAGGAGGGCGAAGTTGGAGAGGCTGCAGCCCGTGTCGCTGCTCTGGAAGTGGCTGTGCACGAGCCTCTGGAATTCTGCCTTCCACTGCTCCTGGTCTCCTTGGCGGCGCGCGCGCAAGGGGGTAGGGGGAGGGGGGAGGGCTTCTCAGAAGGAGGCTCACCTCCTCAGAAGGCGCCAACCCTGCATCCATAGATCAGGACCGCGCCCTTTTAGAAGCAGGAGGTGCTTCAAGGAAGCCTTCTCCCCTCCCCCAGAACCCCCCACTCTGCGCGTGGCCGATCTCCTGGGAAGCCGTCAGCCTGCGCAAGCCTGAACATCTCCTCGCAGCTCACGAACCCATTGCCGTTACTGTCCAGCGTGTGGAACAGATCGGCGATCTTCGACTGACGTCGCGGCGTTTGCAGGCCAAATTCTGCGTGGTGGCCATGCGCATCTTCCTCATGCAGATCAGCTGTGACCGTGGCTCCGATGGGGTGAATGTTGCGCAAGCCCTCTGCCAAGACGAAGGAGCCGGGGCCCACCTCGAGGATACGCGCCTCCTCTCTGCCCATGTCGCTCTCTATGTGCGCCGTCTGGCCAGGGCGGAACTGCCCGACGTCGTCGACCAGTATTTTGTTGTCCCCGGGCATGCTGAGTTTCTTGAGCTTTGTCCTCACCTTGTCCTTGTCGTCTGCCTTCTTTGCGGCCCGCTTCACGGGCTCCGACGGCCGCGAGATGAAGAAGCCAATCAGCAGGCAGCAGATACAGGTCGTGACGACCGCGCAAACCACGCTGAGCCACTGCAGCGGGCCGAAGGCGGCGGACTTGCTGGGCGGAGGCGGCGGAGGCTCCACGTCGCTCGCTGCGTCCATCTCATCCTGGGTTTCTTCCGCCACGGCGGCCAGCGGAGTGGGCGGCAGAGTGGGCGCCTCCGTGGGCGGCGGAGTGGGCGGCGCCTCCGTGGGCGGCGGAGCGGGTTCTGGCGCCTCTGAAGGGGCCCAGGAGCACAGAAATACATACGCACACGCAAGTACCAAGATTCCCAATGTGTTCTCTTATCTTCTTGATCTTCGGATTCCCCCCTACTTCCCACATGGCCCCGTATTTTCTTGGACGTCGGCATGCACTTGCGTCTGGAGGAGGAGGAGGAGGAGGAGGAGGAGGAGGAGGAGGAGGAGGAGGAGGAGGAGGAGGAGGAGGAGGAGGAGGAGGAGGAGGAGGAGAGGAGGAGGAGGAGGAGGAGGAGGAGGAGGGAGGAGGAGGAGGAGGAGGAGGAGAGGAGGAGGAGGAGAAGGAGAGGAGAGGAGGAGGAGGAGGAGGAGGGAGGGAGGGGAGGAGGGGAGGAGGGAGGAGGAGGAGGAGGAGGAGGGAGGAGGAGGAGGAGGAGGAGGAGGAGGAGGAGGAGGAGGAGGAGGAGTGTGTGTGTGTGTGTGTGTTTTCCCCTCCCGAGCCTTTGTCGCTTCAATGTATGGCCGGAGGACGAGGCTTCGCACGGGAAGCTCTATGCCGAGAGGCTCCGTAAGCTCCACCGTGTCGGGAGGTTGGACTCGGGCTACGACCGCGTCCTTGACGGTATCGTTGAAGGTGTTGATGATCCGCCGCCGCGCTTGCAGCTGTGCAGGGGGCCACATCCTTACGTTTTATGATGAAGCACCCCAACATCCCCACGTAGCCGGCCGATGGCAACCCCGCCGCCCGAACTGTCAAACAACAACACAAACTCAACTTTTCTCTCGCCAACATGTGGTCGAGTTGCGAAAAGTGTACCAATAATTTGACGGAATGAACGTCGCTTGGGTAACCCAAAGCGGGTGATCGCGTCCTACCAGAAAAAGCCAAACAAAGTCAACATTTTTTCTCGTCAACATGGACGTTCTTGTCGTCGACGCTGCGAAAAATGTAGCAGGAACGGGACGCGGCGCACATCGCGCGCGGACGCCCGGCCAACCCTACGCGGGACCCCCCGTCCTACCTGTCCAAAAAAACAGTGCAACGTCGACGTTTCTTTGGACAGCATGTACTTTCTCCTCGTAGGCGCTACGAATCGCATAGCGGGAATGGGACGCCGCGCACATCGCGCGGGGACGCCTGCTCGTCAACATGGACTTTCTTGGTCGACGCTACGGCCCGTCGAGTTGAGGAGTTGGGCGCGGCGTACATCGCGCGCGGTCTTGTTTCTCGTCGACGGTGCTCAATACGCGGCAGGAATAGGACGCAACTCATGTCGCACGCTGAACGTCTAGCCGCCCACGATATAAGATGAGCGACTGGCGCCGGACGAGACGCACTTGCTTCTTATGTTGTTGGAGGGCGGGTGGGAGTGGACGGAGCCTTCTGGCTCGTTCGAGCTTGCTAACTTGATGCGAACCCTACCCCATACCCCCCACGATTTCTGAAGGGGAGGGGGGGGGTCCACTCCCGAACGAAGTGAACCCCACCCTCCCCCTCAGAAATCGTGGGGGGTAGGGTAGGGTTTGCATGTGGCCCCCTAGCGGTGGGCATGCGTCAGGGCGTGAGAGTACGCCCCGTGCACTCGGCCTTGCGAAGCTGGAAGTGGCATCCCACACGGAGCGAATCCAAGAGACACGAATTCTCGAACCCAGAAATAGTTCTGTGGGGCTCCGCGAAGATGCGTTCATTTTGCAACTCTGGGGGCAGGCCCCAGAACCCCTCGGCTCCCAGAGGTAAGGTAAGCCCTGACGGTACCAACACAGCCCAAGACCACCCCAAGATTAACCCAAGAAAGCCCACGCGCGGCTCACCCTTACGCAAGACGGCCTCAGGACACCCAGGACAGCCACGCGACCCACCCCACGCCCGAACGACCTCACACGGCTCAAGACGGTCACGAGACCCCTCAAAGGCCCCATCCGAGGCTCCTGAGGGCCTCATGTAGCTTCTCAGGAGAGCTGTGAGATGCCAGAGGAATCGGGGGCCTGTGAGGCTTTCGCCTGCCCGCCCAAGAACCTTCACGAGATACTCTGTAGAAGAAGAGAAAGATGGCGCACACATAAGCTTTTGGCGCCGTTATGTCTGTGCCGTCTTCTTCAGCAGAGTGCATCGTGAGGGCTCGGGGGGCGGGCAGGAGAAAGCCTCTCAGGCCCCCGATTCCTCTGGCATCTCACAGCCCTCCTGAGAAGCTACATGAGGCCCTCAGGGAGCCTCGGATGGGGGCCTTCGAGGAGTCTCGTGACTGCCCTGAGCCGTGGGCGGTCGTTCGGGCAGGCGGGCCCATCCAAACGCCCCCCCCCGCGACCCGGGACGCCCCACGGGCTCCCCGAGAGAGGGCCCCCCGCCCGGCGTAGGGGCCCCGCCGGAGCACGGCACCGCGCGCGCGGAAGCCCGGCCAGAGACGGCCCCAGGACAGCCCGAGACAGTCCCAGGACGGCCCCCCCAGACCTCCTCCTCCTCCTCCTCCTCCTCCTCCTCCTCCTCCTCCTCCCGCTCCTGGAGTCCTCCTCCTCCTCCTCCTCCTCCTCCTCCTCCTCCTGGAGTCCTCCTCCTCCTCCTCCTCCTGGAGTCCTCCTCCTCTTCCTCCTCCCCGAGACCTATGGTGTGGGCGTTGGATAAGGAACCGTTGGAGAAGGAACCCTGGGTCTGGAAGCCGGTGGAACTCCAATGCTGGCTTGGCCATGGGTGTCACTGCCGCCCTCAGCAGATAAGGAATCCCCCAAGGTCTGAAGCCTCCTCGGCACATTCCTGAACCAGCGCCCCCACCGTATGCTGTTCCCGTCGTACACAAGGATCACATCCCAGAAATGATTTCGAGCATCCCAGAAACGGTGTCTGCCCGACACGCTGGCGAAGTACCAACGAGTATCGCCTCCCAGGGCCCGACACGTGATACCCTCCATTGTCGGTACTTCCTTGGCGCTCGATGTTAATTCTCTCGAGCGAAGCTAAAATAGGTTGGAACACCATCGCCCCAGACCCCAAAAGATATGTATACAATACTTTGGACGGCCGGCATGGGTACGGACAAACCATTGGCACGATGCCCAGCAACAGACGTTGTCCAAGACCGATAGCGGCCACTGTTGGGCCGGCGACCTTCTGCCTCAAATGGACAACGTCCGCGGCGGCGCGGACGGCAAGCCCTGTCCAAAATGAACCCGAACTGCTGTTGGGCATCGCATCCGTTCCTTCCGTACCCATGGCGTTCGTGCTCAACGTCTGAAGCTCCAACGGATGGCTTCCCATACCTGTGCATATGGTTGTACACCACCCACGAGACACGGAATCAAGGCAAGCATATCATCTCTTGCCATTGATAAACCTTTTCCGACTAGGCCGACTAAAGGTTAGTTACTCGGCGGTGGACAAACCTCACTCTAGTAAACCTCCCCTCAATGAAAACGGCCTGGGACCGAAAACGACGCGCCTGCACCCGCACAAATGACGGCCGCGACGCCCTCCCGCGAACCGAAAACGGCCAATTCCTCAATCGACGTGTCAGGGTAGGAGGTCTGTCCACCCCCGAATGAGGCGCCGATGTCCTACCCCAGACCGGAGGCCTCCGGCCGTCTTCAGCCTTCGGGCGCCCTCGCCGGCCCAGGGGCTGCCGGCCCTGGGGCAGAGGCTCGGGACTTCCGGGGGCCGCGCATGGAACAAACGATGACGACATCTCCAAGTCAAGTCCGAGTTGCTCGAATGCTGGAAAAAAGTTCCGGAACACGACCCCGCGGCCCCCGCCAGACGGCAGAGCTGCCCCTCCGGCGCCCCTGCACGGGGAGGCTGCGCGGGCGCGCGCGGGGCCCCTGCGGCCGCGAGCCGCGAGCCCGCCGCCCAGCCGCCCGGGCTGGCCCCGCCGGGCCTGGGGCGGTGGCGCAGGCAAGGCCCCAGACAGTGGCGGCGCGCACAAGTGGAGCAGGGGGGGCGGAGGCTTCTGAGGAGGCTGCTCCTCAGAAGGCGCCGGCCCTGCGTCTGCACAGAAGGCCCGCGCCTTCTGGGAAGCAGGGGTGCTTCGAAGAAGCCCCCCCCCCCGCCCTATGCCCCCCTCTGCGCGTGGCCGACAGCTGGGCGAGCCTGGGGTGACGGCGCAAACAAGCCCCCAGACATCTGGCGCCCCCATTCTTTCGATGCGTGAACCCCCAGAGAGGTCTGGACAACTTCCGCAGGGCTGGGCTTTCATCGGTCCCGGGGTCCGCAGAAGACTCCTGGAGGCTGGAAGTAGCCCAAAGTCGGCCGCCTCCAACCTTTGTTCGGCGCCTCGGAGCTCTGGGAGTGGGTCCGCGTCGCGGCCGGGGGCCCCAGGTAAGACCCCTCCCTCCACCAGACGGCCCTGGACGCCCACAGAGTTGGCCCGCAGCCTCTGAGGGCGCCGCGGTGGATGGGTCGGGGGCGCGCACGCATGGATTAGCGATCCATGGATTTGGCGCGCGGTCGCCAAATCCATGGATCGGGGGAGGCGCCCTCCCGAAAATGCGGCTGGTGCTGCCTCGCTCGGCGGCGGAAATCCACAATTCCCATGGAAGCGGGACCCGTCGCTAATCCACGCCCCCTTAATCCGTGTTTGCGATCGTCTGGATGGGCGGCGTCGCGGCAGCGCACCAGGAGAGTGACCGGGTCCCCCTCGTGGAATATCCCCAGGAGGCCCACGGACAGCGTCTTGCTGCTCGCGGGAGCGCCGTGCTTGAGGAGGGTGTAGGCGTCCTTCCCGTTCAGGGACAGGAGCTCCCCCGTCCGGTGCGGGGCCTCCTGGGAGGGAGGAGGAGGCGGAGGAGGAGGAGGAGGAAAAGGAGGAGGAGGAGGAGGAGGAGGAGGAGGATCAGGAGGGGGAGGAGGAGGAGGCAGAGGCGCCCCAGGATCAGGAGGGGAAGCGGCAGGAGCAGGAGAAGCAGGAGGAGGGGGGCCGTCCCCAGGATACTGTCAGGCACCAGTCTCGTCTGCTCTAAGGCGTGGGCGACCTCCAATCGGCACGCCCCGCCGTGCCATTGCAGCATTTGCACACCATCGGGACTGTTCTGGGGGATGCTCATCCTTCGATTGCTTCCCGCATCGCTCCACCTTGGCGCCTCCTCATTGTCCCCTCATCTGTTTCCTCTTTTTCATTTTCCTCCTCTTTCTCCTGTTCCTCCTCTTCCTCCCCCTCCTCCTCCTCCTTCTCCTCCTCCCCCTTTTCCTCCTCCTCCCACCCCCACGCATCCCCGTCCTCCCCATTATTTTACCGAGAATGAGGGGGAGCAGCAGCAGCCGCAGCAACAAATTAGCCTGGCGAGGGACCTAATCATACGCAGGTGTGAATGCCGCAATTGTGAAAACCATCTTCGCCCGCACTCCCTATGTAGCCAGGGCTTCCCGCCGGGGCCCGACACGCTCAAGGACACGTTCGTGGCCATCTTCGCGGGCGCCGACGACGACGAGGACGGTGCCCCCCTGACCGAGGAGCAGAAGCAGGAGAGGGCTCTGAGAGCCATGGAGGCTGCCACTGGCGCCTTCGGTGGAGCCCCTATGGGGCCACGATCCTCGTGAGGGGTGTGCCGAAATGGCCCGAAGCCGCCATGCGACCCCTGCCACTGGGCCTTCGGTGGAGCCCCTATGGGGCCACGATCCTCTTGAGGGGTGTGCCGAAATGGCCTGAAGCCGCCATGCGATTCGGTGGAGCTCCCTCTGGGGCCACCATCCTCGTGAGGGGTGTGCCGAAATCGGCCCGAGGCCGCCATGCGAACCCTGCCGCCGGCGCCTTCGGTGGAGTTCCATTTGGGGCCACGATTCGTGCGAGGGGTGTGCAGAAATGGGGCGGCACCAACATGCGGAAGCTGCCGCTGCGGCCTTTGGTGGTGCCGCGTCAGACCACGAAACGTGCGAGGGGTGTGCCGAAATGGGGGGTTGGAACCGCATGCAAACGCAGCCACTGGGGCCTTCGGTGGAGCTCCCTATGGGGCCACGAACAGTGTGAGGGGTGTGCCGAAATGGGGGGTGGGTCCGCATGCGAACGCAACCACTGGGGCCTTCGGTGGAGCTCCCCATAGGGCCACGAAACGTGTGAGGGGTGTGCCGGACTGGGGGGTGGGACCGCATGCGCCGCAAAAGCGAACGCAGCCACTGGGGCCTTCGGTGGAGCTCCCTATGGGGCCACGAAGCGTGTGAGGGGTGTGCCGAAATGGGGGGTGGAACCGCATGCGCCGCAAAAGCGAACGCAGCCACTTGGGCCTTCGGTGGAGCTCCCTATGGGACCACGAAGCGTGTGAGGGGTGTGCCGGACTGGGGGGTGGAACCGCATGCGCCGCAAAAGCGAACGCAGCCACTGGGACCTTCGGTGGAGCTCCCCATGAGCCATGAAGCGTGTGAGGGGTGTGCCGAAGTGGGGGGTGGGACCGCATGCGCCGCAAAAGCGAACGCAGCCACTTGGACCTTCGGTGGGGCTCCCTATGAGGCCACGAAGCGTGTGAGGGCTGTACCGAAATGGGTAATGATAATGGGAGGAGGGAGGAGGGGGAGGAGGAGGAGGAAGGAAGAGTGAACGCGGGGCGCTGTCTCTTCAAAACGAGGACCCAACAGCACAGGATGGTCGGGGGAAACAAAAACGGCGGAGGCGGAGAGAAGGGCAAGAAGAGAGGATGATGATGATGAGGAGGAGGAGGAGGCGGAGGAGGAGGAGGAGGAGACGGAGGAGGAGACGGAGGAGGAGACGGAGGAGGAGACGGAGGAGGAGGAGGAGCAACATTGGCCAGCAAGAGCAAGGCGGACAAGAGCAAGAGACGCGGACGAGAACCCGTCCAGGTGGCAAGGGACACCCGCTGCTCCTTGAACAATGAACATGGAAACGTGTAGCCACACATGTGTTGCAAGAGCTCCTGCAACCAGACCTCGCCGAACTGTTGTAACAACGCGGGCGCGGCAGTGTCGTAACGGCACGGGGCGAGGGTGC